GTAGCGGCATAGCTCTCCAAGGTCAGTGCAGGTGTATCGCCTCAGCAGCTCTGCCTTCACAAAGGCCTGCGTGTCTCTGACTGCTGTAGCGAAGACCAGGTCGTCAACGTAGACTAGGATGTAGAACGGAGTCTGGCCAGCACGAAGGAAGAGCGAAGGGTCAGCAGAGGACGGAAAGAACTGAAGGCCAGCTAGCGTGGCACGCAACGTATCATGCCACTCATGTGGCGCCTGTTGCAAGCTGTAGACGGGGCGCCGGAGGAGCCACTGGGTCCCAGGAGGGAAAGTACCAGTGAAGCCCTGAGGGCGGCGCAAGTAGACCTGCTCGTGTAGGCTGCCCTGAAGGAAAGCAGTGGAGAAATCGAGGGAGTGAAGCTCGTAGTCATGCTGCGCTGCTATGTGTAGCAGATCCTGAAGAGAAGTCATCTTCGGGGTTGGGGCGAAGGTCTGAAAGAAGTCCACCCCCTCTCGCTGACTGAAGCCTCTAGCCACGTAGCGCGCCTTGAAGACAGGTGGCTCTCCAGGGGGGCGCTTCACCTTGAAGAGCAACTGGCCATCGACTACGTTCACCCCAGGTGGGGGAACTGCTTTGATGTAGGTGCCCGTAGCCCTCCAAGATGCCTAGGAAAATTGTAATGCTACTTCAAGTAGTGTTACATTTCATTTGGTGTATTCCCTTGTTGGGTTTGTATCGAGTCTCCTCATGGTTCGGGACTCTGTGGTGGTGTACCACCAACTTGGAACTCGGCTCTTGGGGTATGTAGAGGCTGGGAACCATCCCTATCTCGAATTCTTCTTCCTAAGTTTTTGTACTGCTAAGACAATAGTGGCTGCTATACCTCGTGCCAGTCAAACCGCCATAGCGTCGTCAAATCTTCATGGAATTTTATGATTCAACTTGCTGATTATAGGCGACAGCAACACGCTCCATATCCAATTTACAGATCATCGTTTAAGGCACAGATCAAATTGGCAACAATATTTGAATCTGTCTGACGGAATTCTGACTGTGCACAATTTCTCTCATTTTAGGCACATCTGAGCCTATTGCGATCATAACAGTTGAGTGATGGGATAAGAGGAGTTGAGTACAACTCAACCAGGGGAATTGAGTGTGTGGGTAAGGGGTGTTGATTGCAGCTCAACCATGGGAGTTGAGTGAGCGGGTAAGTTGAGTTGAGTGCAACTCAACTAGGGGAGTTCAGTGATGGGGTAAGGGGAGTTGAGTGCCACTCAACCAAGGGGGTTGAGTGATGGGGTATGGGGAGTTGAGTGCAACTCAACCAGGGGAGTTGGGTGATGGGGTAAGGCGAGGTGAGTGCAACTGAACCAGGGGAGTTGAGTGATGGGGTAAGGGGAGTTGAGTGCAACTCAACCATGGGAGTTGAGTGATCGGGTAAGGTGACTTGAGTGCAACTCAACTAGGGGAGTTGAGAAATGGGGTAGGGAGCGTTGAGTGCAACTCAACCAGGGGAGTTGAGTCATGTGGTAAGGAGAGTTGAGTGCAACTCAACCAGGGGAGTTGGTGCGTTTCGTGCAACTCAACCAGGGGAGTTGAGTCGAGGGGTAAGGGGAGTTGAGTGCAACTCAACCAGGGGAGTTGAGTGATGGGGTAAGGTTAGTTGAGTGCAACTCAACCAGGGGAGTTGAGTGATGGGGAAAGGAGAGCTGAGTGCAACTCGACCAGGGGAGTTGAGTGATGGGGTAAGGAGACTTGAGTGCAACTCAACCAGGGGACTTGACTGATGGGGTAACGGGAGTTGAGTGCAACTCAACCATGGGAGTTGAGTGCTGGGGTAAGGTGGGTTGAGTGCAACTCGACCAAGGTAGTTGAGTGATGGGGTAAGGTGAGTTGAGTGCTACTCAAACAGGGGAGTTGAGTTATGGGGAAAGGAGATTTGAGTGCAACTCAACCAGTGGAGTTGAGTGATGGGGTAAGGGGAGTTGACTACAACTCAACCAGGGGAGTTGAGTGCAGCTCATCCAGAGGAGCTGAGTGATAGGGTAAGGGGAGTTGAGTGCAACTCAACCACGGGAGTGAGGTGCGTGGGAAAGAAGAGTTGAATGCAGCTCAACCGTGGGAGTTGAGTGATTGGGGTAAGGGGAGTTGAGTGCAACTCAACGAGGGGAGTTGAGTGTGTGGGTTTGGGGAGTTGAGTGCAACTCAACCATGGGAGTTGAGTGATCAGGTATGGTGATTTGAGTGCAACACAAAGAGGGGAGTATAGTCATGGGGTAACAGGAGTTGAGTGCGACTCAACCATGGGAGTTGAGTGATGGGGAAAGGAGTGTTGAGTGCAACTCGACCAGGGGAGTTGAGTGATAAGGAAAGGAGTGTTGAGTGCAACTCGACCAGCGGAGATGAGTGATGGGGTCAGGTGAGTCGAGTGCAACTCAATCAGGGGAGTTGATTGATGGGGAAATCTGAGTTGAGTGCAACTCAACCATGGGTGTTGAGTGTGTGGGTAAGTGGAGTTGAGTGCAACTCAACCAGGGGAGTTGAGTGATGGGGTAAGGAGAGTTGAGTGCAACTCAACTAGGGTAGTTGAGTGTGTGGGTAAGGGGAGTTGAATGCAGCTCAACCAGGGGAGTTGAGTGTGTGGGTAAGGGGAGTCGAATGCAGCTCAACCATGGGAGCTGAGTGATCGGGTAAGGTGAGTTGAGTGCAACTCAACCAGGGGGGTGGAGTCATGGGGTAAGGGGAGTTGAGTGCAACTCAACCAAGGGGGTTGAGTGACGGGGTAAGGGGATGTGAGTGCAACTCAATGAGGGGATTTGAGAGATGGGGTAAGGCAAGTTGAGTGCAACTCAACCAGGGGAGTTGAGTGATGGGGAATGGAGAGTTGAGTGGAACTCAACAAGGGGAGTTGAGTCATGGGGAAAGGAGAGTTGAGTGCAATTCATACAGGGGAGTTGAGTGACGGGGTAAGGTGAGTTGAGTGCTACTCAACAAGGGGAGTTGAGTGATGGGGTAAGGAGAGTTGAGTGCTACTCAAACAGGGGAGTTAAGTCATGGAGTAAGGGGAGTTGAGTGCAATTCAACCGTGGGAGTTGAGTGTGTGGGTAAGGAGAGTTGTGTGCAACTCAACCAGGGGAGTTGGGTGATGGGGTAAGGTGAGGTGAGTGCAACTCAACCAGGGGAGTTGGGTCAAAGGTTAAGGGGAGTTGATTGCAACTCAACCAGGGAGATTGTGTGATGGGGTTAGGGGAGTTGTGTGCAACTAAACCATGGGAGTTGAGTGATCCGGTAAGGTGATTTGAGTGCAACTCAACCAGGGGAGTTGAGTGATGGGGTAGGGAGAGTTGAGTGCAACTCAACCAGGGGAGTTGGTGAGTTGCGTGCAACTCAACCAGGGGAACTGAGTGTGTGCATAAGGGGAGTTGAGTGCAACTCAACCATGGGAGTTGAGTGATCGGGTAACATGCGTTGAGCGTAACTCAACCAGGGGATTTGAGTCATGGGGTAAGGAGAGTTGAGTGCAACTCCACCAGGGGAGTTGAGTGATGGGGTAAGGTGAGTTGAGTGCAACTCACCCAAGGGGGTTGAGTGACGGGGTAAGGGGATTTGAGTGCAACTCAACCAGGGGAGTTGACTACTGGGGTATGGTGGGTTGAGTGCAACTCAACTAGGAGAGTAATATGATGGGGTAAGAAGAGTTGAGTGCAGGTCAACAAGGGGAGCTGTGTCATGGGGTTAGGGGAGTTGAGTGAAAGTCAACCAGGGGAGTTGAGTGTGTGGGTAAGGGGAGCTGAATGCAGCTCAACCATGGGAGTTGAGTGATCGGGTAAGGTGAGTTGAGTGTAATTCAACCAGTGGAGTTGAGTCATGGGGTAAGGGTAGTTGAGTGCAACTCAACCAGGCGAGTTGGGTGATGGGGTAAGGAGTGTTGAGTGCAACTCAACCAGGGGAGTGAAGTGATGGGATAAGGAGAGTTGAGTGCAACTCGACCAGGGGAGTTGAGTGCAACTCAACCAGGGGAGCTGAGTTATGGGGTAAGGGGAGTTGAGTGCAATTCAACCATGGGATTTGAGTGTGTGGTATAGGAGGGTTGTGTGCAACTCAACCACGGGAGTTGGGTGATGGGGTAAGGTGAAGTGAGTGCAACTCAACCAGGGGAGTTGAGTCATGGGGTAAGGGGAGTTGAGTGCAGCTCATCCAGGGGAGTCGAGTGATGGGGTAAGGAGAGTTGAGTGCCAGTGAACCAGGGGAGTTGAGTGTGTGAGAAGGGGGAGTTGAATGCAGCTCAACCATGGATGTTGAGTGATTGGGTAAGGTGAGTTGAGTCTAATTAACCAGGGGAGTTGATTCATGGGGTAAGGGGAGTTGAGTGCAACTCAACCAGGGGAGTTGAGTGATGGGGTAAGGGGAGTTGAGTGCAACTCAACCAAGGGGGTTGAGTGACGGGGTATGGGGAGCTGAGTGCTGGGGTAAGGTGGGTTGAGTGCAACTCATCCAGACATATTGAGTGATGGGGAAAGGTGAGTTGAGTGCTACTCAAACAGGGGAGTTGACTGATGGGGTAAGGAGTGTTGAGTGCAACTCAACCAGGGGAGTTGAGTCATGGGGTAAGGGGAGTTGAGTGCAATTCTACCAGGAGTTGAGTGTGTGGGAAAGGTGAAACTCAACTAGGGGAGTTGAGTCAAGGGGTAAGGGGAGTTGAGTGTGTGGGTTAGGGGAGTTGCGTGCAACTCAACCATGGGAGTAGAGTGATCGGGTATGGTGATTTGAGTGCAACTCAAAGAGGGGAGTTAAGTCATGGGGTAAGGGGAGTTGAGTGCAACTCAACCATGGAAGTTGAGTGAGGGGGTAAGGAGAGTTGAGTGCATCTCAACCAGGGGAGTTGAGTGATGGGGAAAGGAGAGTTGAGTGCAACTCGACCAGGGGAGTAGAATGATGGGGTAAGGAGAGTTGAGTGCAGCTAAACCATGGGAGTTGAGGGGAAGGGGAAGAGGGCACAGATGGAGGAGGAGGAGGATGACGACGAGGACAATGAGGAGGAAGTCCGCGGACCATGGGATCTAGGCGTGGGAGAGCAGGGAGGGGTTGGGGGGGTGGTCGGGGGAGGAGGAGGAGGAGGAGGAGGAGGAGGATGAGGAGGACGAGGAAGAGGAAGAGGAGAAGGACGATGAGTAGGGGGAGGAGGAGGGGTAGAAGGAGGGGTAGGTGGATGAGGAGGAGGATGGGTAGGAGGTAGTGCAGGGGGGAAATAAGTAGTTGGAGGAGGAATATGCGGCAGATTCGAGCTTTGGTGGACCTAATTAGTTCAGTTAGGACCCCTACTATGCATGCCATAGCCACCAATAGTCGTCTATTTCGTCCCCTTCTGTCCCTGTTATTTTTTGGGTTGCAGAGCAACCTACTGAGATCCATTGGACTAGATTTTTTTCAAGTTTTATCAAAACATTTGACACTAATTAAAGCAAATTTTTGGAAAATATTGGCAATATATCGTGGATGGCTCATCTAAACTATATAGCTTTATGAGCTTCGCTTGGCAAATAATTGAAACATGTGTCATATCACTACCACAACATAATAGTTGAAACGAAACAGTGATGGAAAAAAGTTCATGTTTTCCATTGTTTCCAGATACGTGGAAGGGAGTAATAGAAACGTGCAATATAATGTAACGTAACAATTACACTGTAGTATTGGAAAATAAAATAAAGTGATGGAAAACAAGAACAGAGATGTACTATGTTTTCCATCATTTCGCCTGGTGTATTTTTGACGGCGACAAAAATAGGCAATTGCTTCCCCAGCTAAGTGGGGGAAGTTGACAGCCTAATGGACAAATCAAACAACCTTTTTAAGGCAATGCACTTTGCAATTGCAAGAAAATAGACTGCACCTATCATCTCCAGTTCAAGTGACTGTACTCAAGGTGGAAAGTCAAAGAAACTTACACGAGACGATCAGTACAATCTTCTTTATTGCATACACAAAATGCACTACCTGTGTATCAAGCAAGCAGTAGCAGAATGGAGAAGGGCAGCAACACAAAGCAAATGGCAGCAACACAATACTTGGTCTCCAAAATGCATCCCGACGAGAAAGAAATGCAGCAGTTAGAAAGAGATTGAAACATGTTATGTGATGTGACAGTCTAGTGTAGATAAAAAGCACAGTTGGAAATCAGAGATCCGTTTTATTGGCATTCCTGAAGCACCAACACACGTGGCAAAAAAAAGAGATAAAATGAAAAAAACACAAGTTTAGTTCAGAAGATAATGCATGGTAGAACTCGGGAAATGGAAATGAGGATTGAAGAAATGAACGACACATGAGAAAGAGGTAAAAAGTGGGACGAAAGAGGTAGAGAGAGAGGAGAGAGAGAGAGAGAGAGAGAGAGAGAGAGAGAGAGAGAGAGAGAGAGAGAGAGAGAGAGAGAGAGAGAGAGAGAGAGAGAGAGAGAGCTATAAAGGCCCTCTCCTCCCTACTCAATCTTCATTATTCTTACCCTAAACCCGAAGCCCTAAGCCTTTGGCAAGTCCTCTGGTTTTGGCGGCCTCGTCCACCGTCACCCGGGGCTGCAAGGGCACGTACACCAGTCCCCACAGAAGCATGGCCACGGCCTCCTCGGCCTGAGCACGCTGCCAACGGGACAGCACAGGATCGCGCGCCACCGGAGGCCGACGCTCAAGGGCAGCATGCAGCAGATCCAGCAGCTCCGCCACCCAGCCAAGACAGTCCGCGAGACCAAAAAGCTGCTGCCGACGGCCATACTGCGCGCCGTCCCTCATGCGGCGCAACCGTGGAATCTGTGGAGGGGGGGAGCGGCACACCACAAGGAAGCACCACTGGGGACGCGATGGCACTCGGAAACAGCTTGCAAAACTGAGGGTCGGGCAGGATGCCCCGACGAGACCCCCTTGATGCCGCACCACGTGTCGCTGGAGCTGGCCGATGACCACCAGGCGCAGTCCAAGCAGTCATTGTTGACGCCACAGGGTGCTGCGCATCCCACACACGCTGATGGCTGCGTGGTGAGAGAAGGAGGTCCATTACCGGCACCGGTTACTACGGCACCGGCGCCCGCGGAGGAGGAGGCCAACGGCCAGGCACCAGCGAGAGGCGGGAGGGGACAAGGAGCGGCACTGAACACCAGAGGGCACAGAGGACGACAAGGTAGAGGAAGGGGTAGGCTCCAAGGACGAGGCGGACAGACACGGAGTGACGGAGGACCCCGGAACGAGTTCCATCATGCCACGCAAAGGGCTTTAAGATGAGCGGAGGAAGCAACTGCTGAAGAAGAAGCCGCAGACAGGACTTAAATACTAGATGGCCAGGCCGAATCGAGCACAGAGGAAGACAGCTCGCAGGCTGACGAGCCAGCACCAGCCAGCCGACGGTCCCGAGGCGGATCTCGCCCAATACCCCAAAGCGGGGAACTGCCGCAGGGGCGGAATGCACGGGCCCCGCTAGCATCAGGATCCTCACAAGAAGCTGTGCTGTCCCCTGAACAGCTCGCAGCTGACGAATCATGTTTCACCGGCATC